ATACTTGGACTTAGCCATGTTTCAGTCACGATAATGTGCGGACTATACAGCATTATAACATACTCAAACAAATCACATTTATTAACAAGGCTTCGGGCATTTAAATTTAATATACTTAACTGTTTTGTTGATCCTGTACCTTGATGTCAGTTGCTTTTAACCAGTGCTAATCTATGCCTGTCTAGTTTAGATTGCGAGCCAAGCTCGTCATCCCAGGAAAGAAAGGTCATTATTCACTTGAAGCCTATCGTCAACAAGCTTAACACAATATATCCGGCTGCTCTGTCTGCAGAAGCACATTCCCTAAGTTTTTCTCGTTTTTGTAAAGTTCCTTGAGAGAAGTCGTTCTTAATTGAAATGTCTGACCGTTTTAGTTTACTACAGTTCTTAAAGACTTCAATTTTCTCGTTGTAATTGCGCAAGTTCATTACTATAGGGCGTGCACATTGTCCGCGCTTTTGTCCAAGTCTGTGTACCCGCTCGACTGTCTGCGCAGTCAGTCCGAGGTGTCTACCAAAAAGGTCAGTAAGAAGTTTCGATCAAAGTTCATCGTTTGTCTCTTTATCAGGCTCAGGAATACCAAATACAATTAAATTGTTTTTCTGGCTTCTGTCCTCGAGGTTGACTAGTGTAGCTTGCTGAGATTTAACCATTCTTTGTAGTTCGTTAAGATTGCTTTGTATTCCATTAATAGTTTCCTAGTTTTTTTGTACTTTGACTAACAAGTTTTCCAAACAATCAATTCTTCTGTCCATGTCATCTAAAGTGTTCTGGAGCTGGTTCTGTTTTGCGTTTCTCTCTTTGATATCGTTGGCCATGATTTTTTCCCCTTCAAGGATTTCTGCCACCATCAATTCTAGGTCTGCTGGGCCGAGATTTGACTCGATGCCACCAAATAGCATTAGTAACATCTTTGTATAACATGACGCCGCATAAAAACAAAACACTTCAGAGCACAGTAGCAAGGCGAGTAAAAACCTATGGTCGCTTTTGTAGTATTTACCATAATCACATTCACTAACCAGAATGAAGAACAGGAGTGGCATTTTTGACGTATCCTTCGGGCAGTTGCCGCTGTGTTTACTGGAGTACCAAGTGACGGCTGTCGGCCTTATATCAGGGAAGTGGTATCCCATAGTTCCCGGTTCAAGGCTTTTCTATTGGTCGAGCTTGAGGTCTGTGCATGACGTTGGCTCCTCATTGATCGTGTTCGTGATGCTTTGTTTTCCAATGGTCACAGTGACGGGTCTCCAGGTTTCCTGCGTTAATGGGCCAAGGATCTGAATAAAGAACAAGAGTGGCATTTTTTGTATGTCCTTCAAGCGGTTGCCACTGTGCCCACATCTGCACTAAGTTAATTTTAATACAGCTATACTTATGGACTGTCACCTCAAAAAGTCCATTGTCTACATTGGAATGGCAAGTAAATGATGCATTTGACCTAAAATAAAACTTATAGAAATGCCCAGCTATATGTAATTGAGGGGATTTATAAATCGTCTTGCTGTATGCAGATAGTTTTTATTAAATCTAGATTTTGTGAAAATAAAAAGAAGACAATCATGAATGATCAATGCAGGTGTCAGGACATCTCTGCTTAAAGGAGCTGTGCAACGATTTTTACATTGAAAGAATTGGCATCATCTGCTTTTGATATTGTTCACCTTGTCACAAATGACAGAAAACACGCCTCCTTTCATCGAAATGTTGCGATTCCGCTGCGTAATAGCGAGGCAAAACTTATAATATTCCCGACCAGCAGCCGCGAGCGGCGGCCACGAGAAACACGCGGTGTGACGTCAAAGGGGAATCTTGTAGAAAGATAGCAAGTTGTGCGAATACCTGCTCGATAAAAGGTAACTTTTCTATAAATCTTCTCGTTCCAGCATATATATAAATGCGTCAAAAACCTGGTATCATTGACAAAACTTTTATTATACGGAGTTTTAGTGGCGCCATCTATCCTAGGTCCACAAAACCGTCAGCTCTCTCCGCTACCGCGAACAGCCGCCAGAAGCCAAAAAGGGAGGGGTACAGGGCCGGACGGGTATGGCCGGACCCGGATGAGACTTTCCTCCTTTCACCATATTGTTTGCACGGCACCCGCCAGCACGTGGTGACGCGGTCGTGAGCGGATGAGTTCTCGGTGCTCACTGATGGCTCTTAAGAGAGAACTTTCCCGGAACCCCGCGCCTACCCCCTCAACATCACTGTGCATGTGACCCGGAAGACGACGTACGAGTTGAGAGGCGGCAAAAACCTGGATCTTTTTCATTTTTGTAAATAAAAGCTAGGGTATCCAGGCAAAATCCGTTTTCTGTAGTTCACTTCAGAAGTGTCAGGTATCAACTTCCACAATAATTTAAGCAAAGCCCTGAAATTGTTGCACAGCTCCTTTAAAATATACTCTTGCATAATAGCCACAGTTTACTTTTGAAAATTTTACTGTAGTGTAGATATCAACAGTCACAGAGTTTTAGTTTCTTTTTACATATGCCCACGCGCATGCACCATCTCGCTTTGAAAGTGGGCTTTGCTCCTAAGAATGCGACTGCAATATTTGTGCTTTTCGAAGTGTTAATCGCAGCGTGTTAGCACCCCTGAGCACGCTTCTTGCCGAGCACCTGTGCTGTGTGGAGAAGCAACACCCCTAGAAGCATGCTTCGCTGGTGTTGCTTCTCTGCAGTGTAGTGGTGCCAGATGAGAAGCGCACTCAGTGGGGCTAACCTGCCGCAGTCAACACTTAGAAAAATATGCATGTCACAGTTCCCCTCAAAGCAAATATCGAATAGTATAGAAATTACAAAGAAGATGCAAGCGAGCTGGTGAACTTTCAACATTGTAAAACCCGAGACGTAGGACAAAAGGAGAAGAAAAAAGTGTGTGTCTGTGTTGTCCCCTTTTTTCTTCTCCTTTTGTCCTACGTCTCGGGTTTTACAATGTTGATCGAATAGTATATTATTCGAAACTAGTATTAGAAAATTAAAACATTGCACTTCAGGAATATCACGATATGGGAGCCGAGTTCTGAGTGTGCTACAATCGAGATCGCTAGTGCTCTTTTTATCATGGCAGTTTAAAGCAAAAGTGATCTCTTTGTGTCTCTAAGCACCAAAACAACCTAATGGAGGCTCTAATATTATTTATTGTTAAAATTTCCTACCACAGTCACAATGAATTATTCAATGGGCCCATCACATTCACATCATTTTGATTCTTCCTTTCCATCCTGCTCGTGGAAAGCACTCACTTTATGTGGGGCATCTTCCGGGCCCCTTTGTGAGTGCTGTGACATCGACAGTTCCTCAGCTGAGCACCCACGGTCGGCACCCTGCCGCTGTTTTGTCACTTTCAACGTTTCATGAGTTTACAGAAGGGAAAAAGGCAGGCACTCAGTATTTTCACCTGTAAGTGACTCTGTAAGGTGAGGCAGGACCAATTAGTGCAAAAAGTAGTTGTAATTGCAATTTAAATTTGTGATTACTGATGCTAACAAGTAATTAAATTACAACTACATTTTCTTTTAACCAGTAGTAATTAATTGTTAAAATGCTGAAAATTATTCATAAAATGTTACACATTTGGTTGACACAATTGCTAACTGTATGTTTTAATGAAATCATTGAATTTCATTGTTTGTTTCTTCTGCATACATTCCAATAACATAAGATAATGTCAAAACAAGAGGAGAGGACAGAATGAAATGAACACACATCTTTACTTACATGAAGTTGCTACCTATTATAGCCGGCAGCGGGTTAATGGGTATCGTATTTCTATTTTATTTTTAATATTGTGTGTGTGCCCCCAATGACCCACAACTTTTGATTATCTTTGATGGTCGTGTCTAAACCATAGAAAACTTCCCATGACCACGAAGAAAAAAGGGAGTGCAACTCAAAGCGGCCAGTTCTCGATCGGCGGTTTTCTGTCGAAAAGAAAACAAACTTCGAGCTGTGAATTGTTTTCTGGGTTGGGCTCTCATATGTCATGTACAAATAAAAACCTTGGCGAGCATAAATACCCTCTCAGTGTACCTTTAAGTCAGTGTTGCGGACAAAGCAACCTCACCCTTCGCACCAATATGTACATATATTTTACATTGTGCCCCAGGTTAACCTCTCTGCCTTCTTCTGTCTATAGACCTCTATTTTGTCTTACTCTGTCAGTGCAATAAACTCTTGTTCACTATCTAAACACCTTTATTGCTCAGTATATGATCGGTTGGCAACAAGGGAGGGGTTCCCTGGGACTTTTTGGGGCTTGCTGGGGATCGCTGGGACGAAAAAGTATAAGAACCTCTGCAATAGGGTTTTAAACGCATGGCGTGACTATGCGTCTCTCCGCCCACCCCGAAGGACACGCTCCGCTCACGTGGCATTGGATTGGCTTTGATGACTCCTAGAGTCCTGTGCGCTTTGTTGTAAAGTGAAACCAAGTATGTACTCTTCTTTTTTAAAAAACTAAAGCCAAAATTTGGGCATGCTTGATATGAATGTTCTGCATCTGTTTTCGGTACTCGTTTGTTTTTTGCCCATGCTTTCAATCCTTTGCTTGTTTCTTGCGATCAGCGTCATAACTGTACCGCTTTTTCTTTTCCATTCTTTTTAAAATTTTTTGTTTTGTGCTAAAATTCCTCAAGGTACAAGATCCGAAAAGCGATTTGCTACCCCAGTGGTGAACTGATCCGTTAATCTCCTTAGCTGATTCATCTAAGCCCAGCGTGACCTGCTAAAATTCTGTCTCGTTGGTCACGTGCAGCACCACAAGAGATACAAGCACCAGAGCGTAGCACTGCACCGTGCGGTACATTTTCTGAAGGTACATGCTCGCGGCCGCAACACCGTGGAACTCTTTATAACAATACTTGGGACTTCACAACCAGTTTGAAGCCTGGTGTGTTTACCAGGTGCAGTGATGTGTTTTCCGAAGCAAAGGTTGACTCGCTTAGGTGAGCCTTATTGTTAGGGCCTAATTGTTCTTCTGGCTCATTGCCGCAGCATCGTGGCTGACCAGGCCGGATTCACGGTGGTGCCTTCTTTCTGTGGTCATGGGATCGGCAGCTACTTTCACGGACCGCCCGACATTTTTCACTTTGGTGAGTTTGTCTGGCATCGGGGGCGGACTTAAAATTAGAGAGGGAGGGGACGACTGTCCCCTCCTCCAGCTTTTAAGAGTCACTTTTATATATGAAAAAAAAAAAAAAAAAGCATACGAAGGAATATTTTATTTATGGTTAAATGGAAATTATATCTTAGTCTGTAACGCTACATCATTCTGCGACATCGATGGCGGTGGCATAGCCAAAGGGAGGGGCTTGTAGGCTTCAGCCCCATAAGCCCCCCCTAGCTGTGCCACTGCCGCCACTGTCGCCGCTGTAATATGTCGGTGTTACATGTTTTTGTGTTAGAAGAGTGCTTAGCAAAGCCAGCGAAAAAAACACTTAACACTGCTCACGACAGGGGTCTTGGTGGGTCAGGTATACATAATAGGAACACTTTGTATATCAAACAAATTTCTCTTTCGAAAATTTTCTTCATCAGTCGACTTCTCACTTGTGCATCTGACATTACTTCTACTGTTGTCATGGAGAGTCATCTCTAATCCCTACAGTAGTGGTCATTTTCCTATTATTTTAGATCTTCATAATCATCCTATCACACTTCCAACACAGTCACCTCTGTGGAAGTTTGACAAAGCCAACTGGACACTTTTTAAGCAGTCATCTCTCTTAGCTATTACATCCCTCCACCAGCTCTCTGTCAATGAGTCACTCACCTCCCCAAACAGCCTAAGCCATGGTGCAACAAGGACTGCAAAGAAGCCAGGAAGAAACAAAATAAAGCATGGTGCATATTTAGGCGATTTCCTACTGTTCAAGATAATTTGAAAGCGTCTGGACGATTTGTCTGTAGGCAGAAGAAACTACCTTGCTGGGAGAAGTATGTTCCTTCTGTAAATAGTCCTTTTTTGACAAAAAAATGGAGTATGCCCTAAAAACCTCGAGAAACAGGCAGATATTCTTGGCGAGCATTTCGAGATGGTTTCCTGCTCAAAAAACTAAACTTCCTTGGACACACAAAGCATAGATGGAAAGGAAAAAAAAAAGCTTGCGGACATTTCGAGTGTTTTTGAAGATTCATACTATAATGCCCCATTCACATTGCATAAACTTGAAAATGTTCTTCATTGTTATAAACAGACTGCACCTGGTCCAGATGGAGTCCATTACATTATGCTCCAACATCTTCATCTCTCTACTCTTGAGCTGATTTTGTTCCTTTTCTCATTGTCGAGGAATTTTTCCAGAACCTTCCTTAACTATTTATGGACATCCTATTGTAATGAAAAGTGCATGAACACAAGTTTCTAGGTCTTCTATTAAATTCAAAGTTAACATTTGTTTCAGAGATTAAGCTATTAAAGCCAAAATGTTTCAAATCACTCAGCATTCTCAAAGTGTTGTCCCATCAACCTTGGGGTTCTGATTGACTCTGTCTCCTGGACATTTATTGTTCAGTAGTTCGGTCCTGACTTGATTATGGTAGTTTTGTGTATGGTTCAGCCAAAGCTTCAGCGTTGAAGATGTTGGATCCCATTCATAATCAGGAACTACAGCTAGCCACTGATGCTTTCCGCACGTCCCCGACCCAGTGTAGTACAAACTGCTAACCTGGGGTCTGTAATGTGCACCACGCAGTAGTGATACACGACCACATGCCAGTACGATGCTCATCTAGATCGAAACGGGCAGGGGTGGGGATTGAACCCAGGACCCCTGGGTTCTGCAGCGCGAGCTTTTGCTCCACATACTTCGAGCTAGTGTGCGCTAGCCCACTCGGACACCAATCCCCCTGTTTATGTATTCACTCCGTGTAAAATCGGTTCCTCTCTATCCAGCTCTTTAATCGGTCGAAAAAATTAAGTTTGAGAGAACTTTTCAAAATGAACAAAGTATCGTCCCTCCCTTTGCCTTGAGGCATAGTAAGGAAGCGGAGTGCTTTGACCGTCACCCCAATCCCCCATGACAAAGTGTGTAAGCTCCGTAGCTCCTTAGGACTATTTATCATTCATTGTAACTTTACCCAGACAAAACACAATAAGAAATATACTTGGGATGAAGTGCTGAAGCAAAAATTTTCTGAAATAGAAAGGTGTTACCAGCGCTACTTCAACATTTACACCAGTGGTACTACAGGGTCTGTCCCAAAACTTCCCGGAATGATTTTTTGTGGTCGGCAACGCCGCCTGGCGGGGTGGGGCTTCAGGAAGAGAAGTTAGTGGGGGATATAAGCTTCGAAACGAGACCGGTCTCAGTTGTCTGCTATCAGTTGCTGAGGCAGGTCACGCCCCGCGCAGAGGCATCTACAGCACCCTCGTCGAGAAAAAAAATGGACCAGTTTTTGGAGCAACGTTATGCAATCAAGTTTTGTGTGCAACTAGGTAACAACGGGGCGGAGACGCTCGAAATGCTTCGGAAAGCCTACGGCGACGACGCGATGAAAAAAAGCCAAACTTTAATGTGGCACAAGAGGTTCCGGGAAGGACGGGAGTCCGTCAACGACGACGACCGCTCGGGACGCCCGTCGACATCACAAACGGATGACTCGGTGCAAAAAGTGCGTCACGTTTTGGACACGGACGGGCGATTAAGCGTTCGAATGGTCGCAGATGAGTGTGGAATACCCAAAACAATCGTTCATTGCATTTTAACACAGGATCTCCAAATGAAGAAAGTCTGCACGAAAATGGTGCCAAAGGCCTTGACGAGTGAGACGAAGGAAGAGCGTTTGTTGAAGTGTCAGGAATTGCACGAACGCTTCGAAACAGACCCAGAATTTTTGGACAAAGTGATCACAGGGGATGAGACGTGGATTTTCGAGTACGATCCCGAATCAAAGCGTCAGAGCAGCGAGTGGCACACCACGGAGTCTCCTCGCCCGAAAAAAGCAAGGATGAGCAAATCGCGAATCAAGGCAATGCTCATTGTGTTTTTTGACAGAAAAGGTGTGGTTCACAATGAATTCGTGCCGCAGGGACAAACAGTCAACAAGGAGTTTTACTGTGAAGTGCTCAAACGGTTTCGAAACAGGGTTCGACGAGTCCGAAAATAAATTTGCGACAACTGGATCTGGCACCATGACAATGCGTCAAGCCACACCGCGCTCATTGTCTCCGAGTTGCTGGCCAAAATGTGTGTGCCAACGCTGCCCCAGCCACCGTACAGCCCCGATCTGGCACCACCGGACTTATTTTTATTCCCAAGAATCAAAAGAACCCTGAAAGGAACTCGGCATGGGACGCTGGAGACGGTAAAAGCAGCTGCGACGACCTCACTAAAGGAGGTTCCTGTTGACGGCTTCCAGGGCGCCTTCAGTGATTGGGTTCAGCGTTGGCAACAGTGCATCCAAGCAGGGGGAGATTACTTTGAAAAGTTCTGAAAAGATTGTAAACTGATATTGAATAGATGATTTATAAAAAAAACAATTCCGGGAACTTTTGGGACAGACCCTGTAAAACTGATTATTTTGTTGGTTGTGCTGTGGTTGAGACATCTGTTTGCCGTGTAAAAAAAAACTTAACCCTTCTGCCACAATTTTAATGGCAGAGTTGCATGGTTTACTGCTTGCTGCCAAATATACAGTTGAGAAAAAGCTTCATCGCTTTGTAGTGTACACAGACTCTTCAAGCGCATTAAAAGCTGTTCCACTGAATATAGCCAGAAACCCTTTGGTTGCTCAGCTGCAAGATAAGGTAATCTCTGCCATAAAAAATGGGCATGAAATTATTTCCTGCTAGGCGCCAAGCCACGTTGACCTCCCTGGTAATGCGGAGGCAGATCAGGCTGCTCACTCTGCTATCACACACTTTGTGAACCCAAGAGAAATTTCCCCGAAAGATTATCGCAACATGGGAAAACATTCCACAATGCAGGCAATGTGAGTGGAATCGTGAAGTAAACAACAAGTTACATACGATGAAGCACTGACTGCGAAAGTTTCTACGAGGTGGTCCTCTGTCATCTAAGGATTGGTTATACGCAACTTGCACATGGACATCTTTTGCATGGCAAAGATGCCCTGGAGTGTGATCATTGCCATTTAACTACCGTAAAATCCCAAGAGATGCCCCACCCCCGAAAAATAGCCCATTCCTATTAATTGTAGTGCTGGGATCAGTGATGGCCTCGGCGTAAATACATTGCTGACTGGGAAGTATAAATATCTTTGCTTCGTTGCCGGAAGGGACATGGCCTTAAAATAGCAATTTTTTAACTTTTCTTGATTGTACATTGAAAGTTAACCAACCCCATATTTTCACCTGATTTGCTTTTGATGTTAGGTGGGCTATCTATCGGGATTTTACAATATACGTCAAATTTTACCTGAATGGAATCTGTATTTTCTGAACGCCGTAAACCCCTTTTTGCAGCTGTCCAAGGAGCATATCCCATTACACCTCATGACTTCTACTTGGCGAGGAACCTCTTATTTCACACACTTGTGTTTCTACTTTTCTCCAAGAAATCTACCTTGTAGCTCCCTGAACTCATGCTCACACCCTTTACACTCATGCACACCTCATGTTCATAGTTTTATCCTATTATCTGCCACTAAAGCTCTTTCTTCTCCCTAACCCCTTTCAGCAATAGTTTATATACCTGGCACATTATAGCCTTAGATGCGTTTGCACTGCAAAAATCCGATCAAACATTCAGTCCAATCAATTGTGAAGCATCTAAACCAAGCTTTAAAAAAAGAACGCAACAGCCAAAAATTATTGGCAGGCAGACATATAGCTGACTGTAGGCAGACATACAGCCAACGGCACAGGTTAGTTGTTCTAAGTGAAATAGCTGAAATCTTATATGGGACGATTGTGCGGACATCTAGAGGATGATAATCTCGAGAGGTTTCTTGGTGAGATAAGATAAATTGGTGCACCTTATGTAACTTCACCCTCCAGCTATAAGATTATTTGGCGACAGCAGACCACACATGTGCGATTATCCCCCGTTTACGGCTTAAAGACTCACTCTCAGCAAGATGAGAACAATGAGATAACCTGAACCCCTCCCCGACACTGTGACGTACAGGCTCGCACTATGAGCAGTTTTGTTCGCATGACTGGAAAAGGATGTACCGTAGAATACCGTCCATCCGCCCATTCCACATTAAGGGGGACACTGCTCTTTGAGGCAAAAATATGCTAAGAAAACACATTTTTGAAATTGTGTTTCTTGAAGATTGGCAGGTACTTATCATCTTGTCCTGAGGATTTTCTTTAAATAAATCTCTCTCATCTTGAAATATTCTCATGGAAACAAAGTAAAATGAGTCTGAGGGTGTTTTTTATATTATTTCTGAGTGAACTATTTACATCCTTTACTATTTTATGGAAGCCATATGTCTAATCTTCATTTTTTTTTTCTTTCTCTGGTAGGTGTATGTGCGACATGTGCAATAAGGGGTACAAATATATAAATAGGGTACTAGGCTTTTTTTAGGTGCCTTTTAAGCATCCTGCCACAAACCATTTTGAAACTGAAAAGTTAAAAAATGTCCTAAAAAGCTTATAAAGCATCCTAGAGCTTTCATTTATGCCTTATTGGATTCCACATACCTTTTAGTTCACTGATATATGTTTATTTTTTTATTTTAGTAATTTAATTTGTCTTAATCCTTCCTATAATCTGTGCACATTAAATTTTCAATATTAACGAAACTAATTAGGTTACATCAAAACCAAATACATACTTGTAGTCAGATTGTAATGGGAAATACTAAGCTATGTAAATTTCATTTGAATTGAATCACAAGTTATATAAAAAAGCTCTAGAAGCAGTGTTGCCCCTTAAGCGCCCATTGCCAAATTCGTAAGATCTGAGAAAATGCACCCAGTACATTTATATGTAAAATTGATGATCGGACAAGCGCCCATCCCCCATTTTTTTGCGATTATCTGTAAAATTGGAGTGGGCGCTTGCCCGGTATTTTACGGTATATTAATAATTACACAAGTAAGTTTTATGGCATCTGTGTCTTCGACAAAGTTTTAATAGCTTTTATCAAAGGCATCAATAAGGTAAAAAGAAAGATTACGCAGTCACAATTATAGCTGGAAAAAGTAAGAACTGAAGCAAAAACTATTTAAGGACCATCCCCAAAATATGGCCCTGCTAACACATTTAACCCTTTAACCGTTTTTAGTTTTGGGAAATTTCTGACCCACAACTGCTTAATTAATTGTTTTCTGCGCAGCCAGAAGACCTTCCTGCGCAAGGTCTTCTTGCTGCTAAAACATATCAACTGTTCAGCGAGGTTTTTCCAGTTGCACCAAAACCTTTTGGTAGATGAAAGGATAGTCAAGTCAAAAGCCTGTTCTGGAATTGGGCATTATCTTTGAGACAAAGTCACAGAATAGGGCTACAAGCTTTGTGTTTTTCCGGGCTCGCAAAACGGGCTATACTGTTCAGTTTAACATGTATGTATGTATGTGGGCAAGCGCAAAGGGCCTAGTTCCAACGGATTAGCCTTTCGTGGGGTAATGTAGCTTTGCGAAAAATATCTTGACCATATATTATTTACATGGGCAACTTCTCCACCTCTACGTCCCTCTTCCTTCACCTTCTGGAGCATAAGACATTGGCTTGTGGCAGTGCAGGAAAAGATTTTCGGGGCTTCCCGTCTGTGCTAAAGGATTTCAGGTGGGAGGAGAAGGCAAAAAAGGGTCATGTCCAAAGGCTTCAGGATCAAAATGTATTATATCTTCAGTGGAAATACCGGCGACTCATGCACATGATGAGCACTGTACATATTGCCAAAAATAATGGGCTTGTGAAACAGAGAGAAAAAAGAGCAGATACATGGTCATAGATCTTCATCAAGAAGCCGCAGCTTGTCGGCGACTATGATGTAGGAATGCTCAGAAATGACAGATCGGGCAAGTTGATCGGATTGTACAACATCCTGATAAAGCGTGTCCATTTGTGGAAGGCTTTCTCCTTTCACTGCATCGACATCTCAGCGCTCAAGAGCTGCATTCTTCTTTAAGCACACTGCAAGCAGCACCCAAACATTCCTGAACTCTGCAGATGCTCACGCTTTGATCGGCTGGCATTCCGAACGGAGCTCGCCCAATAGCTTCCTGGACTTGGTGTAGAGTATGTCCGACCCCCCTCCTGTTCCTGAACAACGGCATCACAAGTCCCCAAAAATGGAGAAGTGGCACAATTGCAAGGTGTATTATGAGAAGTGCAAAGTTGAGCTCAAGACAAAGGTCTTTGGTAGTAAGACACAGTTCCTGTGTCTTACCACATCCAGAAACTGCTTCACCGAATGGCATGCACACCACGATGGTTGCGACTATGTGGAAGAACTTGGCAAGATTTTTTTTAAAATCTAGAGTACTGCAATTTGCAGCCTTCCTTGCTATTGAAATTTGGCATATTTTGTTATTTCTGAATTTTTCAGTAGTCCTTTTTTTTGCCGAGATATCTGCATATTTTTCTTGTTTTTTGCTGTGTGGGTCAAAAGAAGTTTGGCTTTTGGAAATTAAATCTTGTATCATTTATTAGACTTCTATTTTATAACTACTATATCATTAAATAGGGCATTTTTTGTGCTACATTTTTATATACTGCAACATATTTTAGAAGCATGCTTTTTTTTAGAAAAAACTTATGCTGGGACCCTCCAGAAATGGCCAGTTTCCCTGTGGTAAGGAAGGAGTTAGGGGCATGTTAGCGAAATGGGTTCAGTGCTGGCATGTAGTGCAACATGGAGATATGTGACATGTTACTTGTGACCTGTAATCGGCATTCATGGTCATCAGTGGCATTTAAAAAAAAATGTATGTGAATGTGAAAAATTAGTGCTTCTCCTGCCCTAATAGTTGAATGTATGGGTTAAAACTAAGCTCTTTCTTGTGTGCCATGTGCAGAAAATGAAGAAGAAGGAGAGATGTTCGAGGGACTGGTGTTCACAATTGGTAAGCTTTTCTTGCTGGCATTTGTTGTTTTGCATGTCTCTGAGTAAATTGTAAGAAAACCTTACAGTAAGAAAGGCCTTTCTTTAAATTGAGCCTTTTGGAAGAGCATCTAGCAAAGTCATTGTGCATGTGCAGATTTTCATGTGCACACAGCCTACATGGGTCAGCATCAAGAAAAGAGTAATTGTACCTAAAATCTGTTATAAATCTGTAAATTAATAAAACTAATAAAATTCCTAGGCAATCTTTTTTACCGTCAAATTATTGAAAATACATTGGTAAAGTAAGTTTGAATGCATAATCTCAAGGAGGGAAACAACCTTAATTCCCGAGTCTCCGACGTGATGGCCTGGTTTGTGTCACAGACAGTGTTCTACCACCTGAGTCGAAGGGATCATTGGCTGTTCGAATAGATTGCACGAAATGGTTTTTTAATCTGTTGTGCTAGGATTTACCACACAGGTACCTGTAGATAGTGGATCTTGTGCATCAAAATTTCACTGAGCAAACTTGCCTGAGTGAAATGTTAATAATCAAGAACTTGAAATTCCTACTTATGGCATCCGTCTGCTAACGAAAGGTGACTGATTGGCGTTGCACCAATCAGTCACTTTCGTTTTTCGACAGATGTGTTGTCTGTTGATGTGTTGCCACCACCTATCGGTCGTTGCGACGGATAGGTGGCGGCAACACATCAACAGAGAACACATCTGTCGTGTTCTTCATGTTTTCAGTTAATTTTTTTGTTCTATTGCTAAGAAAGAAAAAAATAATGCCTGACATTTGGCACAAAAGAAGAGCACATTACTTCTGGCTCAGGAAGGTCGTCAGCTATTACCAAGATCGAGGGAAGCGCCCAGTGTTTTTCAAGTTGTTGATTTTAACTGTTTGCTCAGATAAGTTTGTTCAGTGAAATTTTGATGGCACCTCTGGGGTAAAACATGGCATGATATGTTAAGAAACGGATTTATGCGGTCCCTTCAAACAGCCAACTATCTCGTTGACGCATGTGGTAATGCGTAAAAAAAAAAAAAAAGAAAGAAAAGACTTTGTTTGGAAGTGTTGAAATTGAAAGTTTTTTAACAGGTGTAAATGCAAGCCTTGGCAACGAGCATTCATTTGGTAGATCTGGACCGGAAACCAAAACCACCTCAATGAAAAGAAGTGCTGAGCCTTGCATTCTCTTTTCACTTGTGAAGATCTCTTTGTCGGTTGTATTCACTTCTAGATGGATTTCTTTACTTACACAGAAATGCCTCTTTACGGCTTGTAACTTTGTACACGTGCACAGAGGAACTTGCATCATTTCATAATGAATGCACTCCGTTCAGTCTGGGGAAGATACATGCATAGATGTGTCCGCATATCTTTGTGAGTGCCTGTGCTTCTTTGTGAATTTGGGCAAATAAGTGCTGGCAGGAGAAAATTCTTTATTCAGCTAGTGTGAACTAATTCTAAGAAAGATTAAGAATCTGTGCAAAGTGCAGCAGAGTGTCGCTTTTACAGGGAACAGTCTCCGTTGCAACAATGTCTTTACTTTTTCAGTATCTCAGATATCTGTACAAGCTTTACAAGTTTGCCACAATTTTGTCTTCTGCTACAACCATTTCTCTTTCTGTATAGGTCATAAGCAATCTGAATGCTTGAGCATGCTGTAAGCATCATATCACAGCCGTTGTACCAGAATGGCTGTTTTTCAACCTTGCTGTATCTTTTTTTACTTCACTGCTAACTCTGCAAGATGCGGTGTCTAAAATGCAACAAAAAAAAAAAAAAAATGCCGCAAATTTATTTTTGTTTTTGTTTTGTCCGATTTTCACTGTTGCCATTTTGCTTCTCCTAGCGTACACCAGACGACACAGACAAATATAGCACAGCTGCCCTGTCGCAATTTGCCCCATGCAAGTTTGCATTGCACTCGCCATCTTACCCCCAAGTCAACACCGTACATCAGCACATTTTATGAAACTGGTAGCTTTTGCGGTGGCCCCTTATTAGTACGACAACAACGGGAAGGACGGGCGGTACCGTGTTGGGGCCAGATACCATTCTCTATATGTGACTAAAGTATCTGTGCCGTGTGCATGTTTAGACGGCGGGAAGTTGGCGGGTCCTGGTAGGCGTCCAGTGTCCTCGCCGTAGATGAGAAATGTGGCCAGTATAGTACCACCGCTAGCCTGGGGTTTTTAACGTGCATCACGCCATAGCGATACTTGAACGCACGCCAGTACAAAGCTCGTCCACATGGACAGGGGCGGACGTGTGGATTAAGCCCAGGATTCCTGGGTCCCGTGGCGTGAGCCTTTGCCCGACGTGCTCAAAGCTGCGATGCATTAGCACACTTTGGCACACTCTTTTCCATGCAGAGCCAGTTATATCGGAGGGAAGTCCGGAGATCACCATCCTGGACGACGGCTGGACCGCGGTCACGACGGACCAGAGCCGCACGGCGCAGTTTGAGCACACAATCCACATCTGCAGCGAAGGTGCCGAAGTCCTGACCGTGCTCTGAACCGATCGTCTCCTTGTGCGGCACGGTTTTTGTGCAGTGTCCGCAAAGGACGGCTCACATCCTTGTTTCTACCGGTAGCCGTTCATACCATATTTTCTGGACTATAGCCCATAGACTATACGCGTTTAAAAGTTGAAATATCGCACAATGTGGACTCTCCACAGGTGCGGAGAATAGAGGGGTTTGTAATTTTCAAGGTTGCTAATTGTGACAAGACGCAACGGTTTTTTTTGTAAAGGACAGATAATGTTAATGATGAAGTTATATATGATGCAAGCAATTTTGGAAGCTAATAATAATAATAATAACAGTAATCATAATAATAATAGTAATAACAACAATAATAATGCCTTATTTGTATCATGCCTTAGAACAACCAATAGGTCATAGTGTGGTGGCACATAAAAAGGTAGTACAAAATCTTAACACAATATCTGCCACTGCAAAAGGGAGTGCCGTGCGCAAGAATTTTTTACACGCGGGTTAAGCGCCAAGTGCAGACTGTCTCGCGGAAAACTTTTCTTTTTTTCAACCGAAGTTTTCACGGAAAATGTGGTATTCTCTTTGCTGCCGGAGCAGGAGCCTTTTTTTTCTGTAGTGTCTGGCTTCGTTGCAACTACGCTGCAAGATGGTCAGGTGAGAAAAGGGTCTCGGCGACCTCGTGGAAGCAACGAGCGTCTCTAAACGGCTGGGGTTCCGGCACGATGCAGTATGATGGGGGGTGGCAAAAGGCGGCACCTTGCGAGGGTCGTCGTACCTCGTGCGGAAATTCGGAGCCTCTATTCGCTGCATAAAAAAGATGGAACACAAACCTGATATTTTTGCAGCTTGTTACGGGGGGATATCAAATGGCAGGTGTGTTCTCACGTGCTTCCATGAAACGTTCCCACCTTTTTCTAACTGCCATCTCGCATTTGTTTGTGAACTTTGCGTGCAAACCTGTCGGCTAACTCTGGCCACTTTTGTCCCCGATATTTTGTTCTAATTGCCGCGTGCGTAGCCCTGTCATCTGTGACAATGTTTTTGGCTATATGTTTTTGTAGTTTGTTTTCAGGAAATCCAGCAGTTGTCTCTGGGAGTTTATCTCTTGATTGCAATGGAGAGTTGTATTTTTAGCTATAATTTCCACTAACCCAGAATTTGAATCTTTCGAAATTTCGGACCTTGAAACATGAAACAATATTAATGCGAAAGCATTAACTGTCCTATGGAGCGAGCCGGCATCATCAACTGCGCCAAACAGCAGATAAATTCCCGAAGCTGCGATCTGAGGCATCCCAGCTTTGAAACCGCGCAAAAAGCCATGCAAAGCGACAAAGATATGAATGATAATGTAGTGAGTGCGCAGGCGAGCTGGTGGATGTTAACCATTTTGTTTTTAGCCCGAGACTGAGGCAGGAAAAGAGGAAAGTTTCAAAGTAGAAGAAAAATGAACAGTCGAGGACACGTCTCTATGATATGAAAGTTATGAAGCGGACGCACGTCAGTTTCAATTAGCGCCACCCCATGGCTCTGCGTGCGCGTCGGAGCAGAAACGGCCAAGGTGCCAAGAGGATCGCATGCGGCCGCGGCACCGAGAGGGTCAGGAGCTGCCTTAGTGCCGAGGGGATCAGAAGCGTCCGCAGTGCGAAGAACGACATTCATGCCTTCGCATTCACAACCCGTAAGAAGTGCTTAGGTGTACCTCGAGCCTTTTTTCACTTTTAAATAAAATTACTGCAAGAAACATGCTCACTTAAGAAATGAGGTTGCACAAAACATTGCATGCACATTCATTACGATTAAAGTTCCGTGTTTTCGGCATATACGGATAAACCCCGAAAAATAACCTTCGAGCCGATTTGATCAAAATCGAGGAAAACCGAAAAACCCTGAATCGAAGCTGTCTTCTTAATGAGAAAAACCCACGCTTTGCGAGAAAGAAATGTTTGTCTACAGCTTCGTTTCATGTTAACACAAAACGCATCCCGCGCTGAACTGTCGACAGGGCTGCTTCTTCCTTTGATAACAACACTTCCTACCTCGTTTCCTGGTCTTGTCAGTACGGGGCATGTGTTTCAAGCGTTTGAGTCGCGCGCATGTTCCCAGAAATTTGGGAATCCCACGCCCATGTCCTTATTTCTTCAACGTAATCCCCGATAAACACAGATTTCTGTCCGACACCGGACAGAAATAAACCCCAAAAAATGTCCTTGAGTTAAAAAAAAACCAAACAGAAAAAACCCGAAAACACAAAGCCATAATTATTACAAGTCTCAAAAACAAACATACATATCTTGAACTTGAAACATACACTGTTCTGCAGACCATCGTCATTTGCACAGATTTCAAAATTCGATAATGGAAAGCCTCAAACCAGGGGGCCCCAACACTTTGGGTCCCCGTATTCTAAAAGCTCCCCGTTGTACGTCCCTCTTGAGGCCCTGCTCATTTCCTCATTTCCATCAGTGGGGTGAAGCCAGAAAAGAATGAAGTCCTGTAAGGTTAATTGCAGACTAAAAGGATAAAATAGTTTGCAACTTTCAGCGAGGGGGGTACCGCAATGAGAGAATCGCTCTCCCTAGCTCCTGGATGGTTGGCTTCGGAATAAAGGTGCTTGCTTAAACCTTCCTGACGTGCAAGTATCACGGAAGGCTCTCGTATCGCTCATGTTTCACGAAATTAGAATTGCTTATCCGTCGTGCGCCCAACCTTTTACTACTATTATTTAACTACAATCATCCAGATGACAGTAATTTCGATAGGAACTGCCCCGTCTTCCAAATAGCGGCCAGGCTCTTTAAATCGACCGCAAAAATCGGTTTCTTAACCTATCGCGTTCCGATTTTGTACACCATTGGCCATAGGTGGTGCAATGCAGCGAAGCCACCAGTCTTCTAACCATAGGGCGACCTCTGACTTGAAGACCGGTGGCTTCGCTGCGGTTCCATAGGAGTTCAGCCTTTTTCTTTTTTTACTTTTTCCTCAGGTAAGTTCACTCTTTGCTAATTTTATAGAAAAAATGCACAACCTGTGGCCAAATCTGTACAAAATTGGAATGCAATAGGTTAAGAAATCGATTTTTGCAGTCAATTTAAAGAGCTTGGCTGCTATTTGGAACACGCGGTAGAGTGGCCCTGACAGGCCGTGAAAGTTGTGAACACAAGTTGACCCTTTGTCAGGATAATACAAGTTGAATCTTTTTCCATTGCATCACTTCTCAACCTTCTTTCAGATTAGCTCGGAAATACAGAACCTAGCATATTATTGTATGCGGGTTTTTGGACGTGATGCAATCTTAATTTCTTGAACAACATCAGAATTGACACTCTTTCAAAGAAATCTGGCGAATCCAGTCCCAGAGATGCTGCAAAACTGGAAATATTTTGAGGCGATTTCCACGGAGATGTCTCTGCACTTGAACCAATTTCTGACAAAGAGCGAAAGACGGGTACTCGCAGATCCTCCACTATACTCGGCGACAACTTTGCTTGGCAATGCAGTGGAGAGGAGAGGGGCTCGCACACAGCTTTATATTCAGCGCTCAAAATGGGAGAGGGAACGTGTGCTTGTACCCTCCACTGCATTGCCAAGAAAAGTTGTCGCTGAGTATAGCGTAGTAGTCTCAGTAGACAAACAAAAGACGAACCTGCTCCTTAGCTTCATTAAAGCAACTTTCTGACAATTCTAGTTTGGGCAGCCTATGAACGTGCTGTTATCGCTGCCTGGTGAAGCTGAAGCAGAAGGAAGGTTTATATTGGTGGACACTTTGCCCTCATTCTATTTGTGAGCTGAATTGGTCATAACTATCTGGATTTGCCATGTTTGCAAGCATTATTCCCCGATTGTTCTTATAGGACTACATGTAACTGCTGTTCAATCTGCTTAATGCGTTTTTTTTTATTGAATACAGGAAGTTTTTTTGAGGCTCGAGATTTTTGTATGAGGCTACCACCACTAAAGTAAACACTTGCAACTTGCTAAGCCCCGTCGTAAGTGTTGTCAGATTTACTTAATGTTGCGCTTCCATGCAGATGACATAATTTTTTTTTTATTTTGAAGGACGTAAAGCTGGAAAGCTAGATGGACTGATGTGGACTCAAAGTAGGAAAGCTTGGGACTGAGGAGTAGAGCACAGCATTCGCCTGGTTCTCATATTGCCTCAAACCTTCTGGTCTTGATGCTCAAAAGCACATGGAAGTTACACCAAATATGTTTCTAGTGTCTTGGTTATATTGTCAAGTACCTTTTTTTTATGATGTGAAGTGTGTAGAAATATCTTCCAGCATAAAGAAGGTCCTAGAATATCTGAAAAAAAAAAAGAAACCATTGTATACTGTGAGTCGTCGCTTCGAGGTGATATAGCCATACTTATAAGATGTAATCCTTATATGTGCCAGTGACTGGTCGTTAAGAATTTAGCTCATATATTTAGGGTTAAAAGTGTAAGAACTCAATTATTTTTGTAGTTTGATGTGTTTTGTTGGGATTACCTTTCACCAGTAAGAGTCTATTTTAGTAACTTCCTCTAGACCGGCAGTTGAAGAGAGTCGTCTTTCCTATTCAAATAAACACTGGAATACCAGCGTGCTTGTAGATGTCTTCTGATTTAGGTGTAAATTTTACACTAAATATTTTGCACTACAAGCATGCATAGTCACCTGTTTTACATCAAGGCGCATGACCAAGACAAACTTTTCGGCAAATCACTTAGCTTTCAAGGATGACACCTGTGGTGCCATGTTTGGTGCCGCCTGTGAGGAGAAAGTACAACTTCAAACCTGAGGATGCCATCTGTTATCAGGGGCATGGCCACTGTGTCCCACTTCTGTTTTGTGCCCCCGTTGTGACACTTTTTTTGTTTTTAATTTGCAGGTGTTTGCGACAGATACTTGAGCGAGTTGCACTTGCTGTGGCACCAAATTCATTTCGAAGGTTCTTCCTTTTTTGTTTTGTTGCAGTTCTTGATCACAGTGGCAGCAAGTAATACTTACAGTGCATGTTGGAGACAAGTAGCTGAGCCTTTTACATTTTCACTTTTATGCATATTTGCTTAATGGGTTGTGAAATTGACACGCCTGAACTGACAACCTTTAGTGTGTGTGACTTTTTTGCATTAAAGTGGGTTTAACACTGCATTCAGCTTGCCTGCTAACTTGTAAATACATTAAAGGCTAAAAGTGACTCTGGTGGCCCCTGCCACCCCCCTGGCACACTACATGTGTTTTAAAAAATTATGTGTTTCCACTAAAAGTCTCCTCTGCGCTCATTTTAAAGTGAAACAGGCTATAGATTATTTTTATGAACACTTTGTGACACTGTTAGCCCAAACAAGCCATTGCCAGTTTTTTTCTAATTTTCCCTCAGTATTAGAGGCCTGTCCTCCAAACTACTGTAATGGTGGAAGAAAGCTCAGTTGGGGTACTAACCTAACTGGAAAAGTTTTATGCCTACCAGTATTTTTTGGAAGTGAACTGCAAAAAAGCTCCAAAGTCATGTTTGTCCTAACAGTGTCATAGAGTGCGCCTGTTGCAAAAGAACTGCGAATATAAGCAGTGCACCCGTTGAAACGAACTCAGAATATGATTTCGTTGCCCTATTTGTACTATCATTTTAAAGTTGGTTTGAAAAGTTGAACAAGATTTCTAGTTCAGCAGTTTTTAGTTCAGCAGGCTGTGGCTTGCCATTGTACGTTTTCATGCCCTTCGAGTTTTTCGCTGTAGCACTGAGCCACATCTTCACTTGCATGTCTACAAACTTTTTGTGCTTTGTTGTTGACAGTCTTGGTTTCTTGTTCTGAGTACTTTGATCTTTAACCTTCTGATGGGCCTACCCTTCCATACTTTTATTTTACTTTGAATGCAAAACAAATTTGTTGAAACAGAAATTGGACATGATAGTATCAAGATCTTGAAATGTTACCGGGATAGCCAAAACATTTGAGGGAATTTGTGCTGATCATTTGTGTTGTTTGCTTGTGCATTAATTAGTAAACTAAGAGCATGCGAGAGGGAACTTCTTATTTGAATATGTAATGCAGCTATGATATATTAATCTGTGAATAGCATTTTTGTGTTTTTTTTAGATATAACTACACAATTAATATCATTGTTGACACACACTTTTAGAGGTGATGATTGAAGTAGGCTCACATAATATAGTCCAGATCTTTCGTTTTTCATGGCGCTTTTTAAAATGTGATATAACATCAATTGTATAATTTTAGTAAAAGAAAACAATTTCATTTTGTGAAGTGTTGTATTTGACCATTTACGGTTTAGTATTTTGAAGTAGGTACCTTCTAGGGTTCAATTGTAACATATCCCTGACTGGTATTGCTGTCTTAGGAGTTTTTGAAAAAAGTGAAATGTTAGTCATGTGCGTCAAGTATCAAAGGAAGCGTGCTGAATGGTAGTATGCAGCCTTATTTGACCTGAGTCATAGATGTTGCTCAAAACATGAACCTGTAAATAAAATATTTTTGCGTTAAATTTGTTTCCTGACTATTGTTGCAGCTCACTATTAATGGTCTTTTTGTGTATGCAATTTACTGCCTCATGATAATTGTTCCGTAAATATAGCCCCTGACTTATTTGTTGTTTATGCGCGAATATGATAGCAACGTTGCGAATATACGTACCAGAACGCAGAGGCGAGAACTTACAAATCTAAATATTTTTACCTAAAGGACATTACCGCTTGTATTTAAATGTTTCGTTCATAAATTCGAGTGAAAAATATGTGTGGAAGAAAAGAAAGTTTGGTGCTCTTACGTCTGCACAGTTATATCTCGATGTTAAAACTGTTTAGCTTATTTTCGTTTGATTTTCGATGGCACATTGGTTCCACATTCCACAGCCTAAATGCACACAGGGAATAAGTGCGGTCACACTCAACTGAAGTCTCGCAGGGAAAGTGAATGCATGTGCAAGGGTGCTCTTCCTCATATCTTACACAGCTAACTAGGAAATTATCAACGTAAAAATAAATAAATAAATAACGCATTGTACAACTAATACCTGGATTAAGTCGAGGCTCTTTTAATGCGCTTCTCACGTCATGATAAAAATAACGGGACAGGCACGCGCCCCCCGCGCTGCGCTCTTCCCCCAAGTCAAAAGAAAGGTTACGAAACCGAAACTCAAATACGCAACTTCCGTAATGCTCCTGCGCGTGCGCTCGTTCTTCGGTCGCTGAAAACGAGGCTATCAAAAAAAATATACAAAAAATAAATAAACGAGACTGCGTGTGGCGCCCGCTGGTGGGGATTCAACGAACGAAACATGGAAATTTAGCCGACTTGGGGGTGGGTAGCACGCTCCGCACGCACGGTGGTCGTGCAAGTGTTTTTTTCTTTTTCTCGCGTGGAACGGTTCGTCCCTACGTGACACGACAGCGGCCAGTCGTCCCGTAACAAGCGGTGTCAAGTGCCCCGAGGCCACTGCCCAAGTGTCCGGCTTCGTCGGAAAGCTGCCATCGAGCCGCTAACCCTGGTAAGCGAGGTTTTCCAGCTCGCGTATTCACACGGCGCCCGGCCGATGCTCGTGTTCGCTCGCTCCGATGCGTGTGGTGGTACGCGCGAGGGAGCAGCACATGCCTGCGACGTCAAGTGCAACTCCCAGAAGAAAAAGAAAAGAAAAAAAAAATAGAAATTGCTTTTTCCTTTTTTGCATCGGTCTCTCGTTTCGCTCGAGCCGTGTGATGACCGTTGGATCAAGCTTTCGCGGCTGGTTGGAGGCGAGGTTTGGCCGGTCGGACGATCTCTCAAAGTCGTGA